TCTCTCTCTCTCTCTCTCTCTCTCTCATTGCAGGCATACTTTACTCAAAAGGAGCTGCTCATTTATATTGATGGGATTTTCCCCTTTGATTCAAAGGGTAAACAAACCATGGAGTCAGGCAGCTAGAAAGAGAAAACGCAACAGAACTCTTTCTAGAGAAAAATACTTTTTCTAAATAAGGGGAAAGATGAAAGAAAAGTGTTCCACTTTCTGTAATTGCAGAATACATTTACTTTTTATTTGCCCAGCACCTAAAATGTGTAGTAATGGCCATCTCCCTTTTTCCACAGTGGCCTCTTGTTAGCTTCAAAGAGATCCTGTTGGTGCCCACAAATCTAATAGCTTAGCTCAAAAAATTACATGAAATTCAAAGAAAATGCTGTGTAACAGCCAGACCTCATTCTCTTTCTTCTCTCTGACTGGGGGGAACAGAGTGGGTTTTGTCCTTTTGGAGGGTAACCCTGTTTGGCACAGAGGACTCGGTGGTGATTTTTAAAAGTGAGCATAACAGGAGACTTGTGATAGGATTCTTTCTGGTATGGGTAGATGTAGGATATCATTATAAATCTTAGAAACCTACACAGATGATTTTTCTTAAAACATGAAATGTTTCTTGATTCTGAATATAAGAAAGGATTTTCCCATGATAAAAAGTAACTAAAACTATGAAGTATATAGCAACATATTATACAATATTAAGATGTCAAATATTGAATGCTTAGTAATCCTTGGCTTTTTTTTAACGTAACATTTAAATTGGAGTTGAATTCCCCAAATGAACAATTTAGATTCTTTACCAACAGTTATCCCCTTAAACTTTATGAAATTCCTAAGTGTTTACAGACTTATCAGACCAAACCAAAAAATGACAGCAAGTCCCTAAAACCAGGCTGAGGTTCTTATAAAGTAAGTGTGCATGATCCATTGGCAGCAATGACCCCAAAAAGCCCTCTTGCTGTGTGTGTCATGAACCCATGTCAGGTGGGAAAAGAATGTGATCTGGGGTATGACGTCCATCTCCACCATAAGCACCTTTTGGTATATGTGGCTACAAGCACTGGCCAGAGGTGAGTTCTTACTGAGCTCTGACCCTGTGCTAATAGTGAAGAGCAGAGTTGGGAAGAAAATGACAGGGTCCTGTAATGAAGAGCTCCTGTGTCCCAGAGCAGATTGATGTTGAAGGATCAAATAGGACTGAGAAGGGCTAGACATTGTGAAACTATATCAGGGCATTGTAATTCATCTGGGAGCACCAGGAAGACTTCTTGAAGAAGCAATACCCAAGAGACATCTAAAGTATGAGTAAAATCAACTAGGAATCCTTTCTTCTTCCCACCTGCCTATTCACAGGAGTGTGGGAGGGGCCTATGTGGACAAAGGAACTTTTACATGAACCCTTCACCCTTGAATCCAGCTGCATTATTTTCCTCATGCTAGTCATGTAGGATTGAGGCACTCTAAATGCAGGAAAAAAAATGGAATTTTTCTTATTTGGGTCAATGGTTTTATTTTATATGTGTTTTCCCTACAAAGTATACTTACTGTTAAAGAATTAAAATTGGGCTGGGGATGTGGCTCAATCGGTAGGGCGCTCACCTGGCATATGTGCAGCCCGGGTTTGATCCTCAGCACCATATACAAACAAAGATGTTGTGTCCACTGAAAACTAAAAAATAAATATTAAAATTCTCTCTCTCTCTCTCTCTCTCTCTCTCTCTCTCTCTCTCTCAAAAAAAAAAAAAGAATTAAAATTATCAGATTTATTCTGTACCTAAGTCAAAGTCATTGTTATCATCTTAGGTTCTTCTCAAAGGGAGGCCAGTCCTTAACTACTTTCAGAATCATGTGGTGGTATTAGCAAAGTATAGATGTCTAGATCCCACTGCAGACCAACTGAGGTAGTTATCATTCAGGGAGGATGTTTGAGGAATAATGATTGTCTGCAGTTTCAGGGAGCTCTCCCTGATCTATATGCCTTGGTTGTAAGATGTGGGGCACATTTAATTCTCTTTTACTTTTTCATGTAAATATTGGCTTTGCTTTTTACACTCTATTTTTTACTGGTCTCATGCATGCTAGGCAAACACTCTACCACTGAGTTACACCCTCAACCCAATATATTTTTCTTTTATGTTAGAATTCCACTTTTGCTTTTCCTGTCAACCACTGAAGTCAGGTTTATTGGTGGATTTTAGAATTTTTCAAGATTTTTTTCCCTCACATTACTATACCTTAAAAGAACACTAGAGGGCAGCATAAGGCCACAAACCACGCTGTCTGGTGGTGGTAGGAAAATTGGTGCTGGGAAGGAAAATTTCTTTGTTTTCAGACATCTAAAAATTCCACATTTAGCCTTCACAGTAATTCTAGCTTTTGTCTGTAGCTCTGTTTTATTTTATAGATAGAACTTTAGTGTAGAAATTTGAAAGCTAGGGGCCATGTATTCTGTTCCCTACCTTGATTCCCATGGAGATGGTCATAAATGGGCAGGAATCTAATGATCTTTCTCTGAGCAGAGGAATCCCATGCAGGTGACCTTGTTCAAATTATCTTTCGTGACACTGCCAGATTCTCAGGGGGTTGTGTGTCTCTCCCTGCTGATACAGTTTTGCTTTCATCTTTATTTCCCAGCTGTTTGTGTTCTATTTCCCCTGGCTATTATGTACAAGCTGCAACATACAATGAAAGGAGCAACATAAATTTGCTCTCTAGAGTCACTTCCTAACACAGCACTGGTTTCATTTGGGGACTTTTGTGTCATGCCCCCTTTAGTGGGATAAAGGGTTGCTTTAATTCCTCCTTACGTTTCTTCTTTTGTTCCTACATTTTGCAAAGTTGTATGTTTGTGTGTGTTTATATATGGGAAGGAGCTAATATTTATCCAGTCCTTACTAAATACCAAGTACACTTAAATGAGGTTATTGTATGTAATCCTTCTGATTACCCAGGGATTTGTATTGAGGTCAGTCTTGCTTATTTGTTAATCTAGTTCAAGAACAAAAATAGAAAGGAAAAATCATTTGGGGTTGCCATTTTCCATAGGTACCCTTCTTTAGAATATTAACCTAAATTTATCCTTCAGCAAATTGAGGATAAATCGTTTTTTTAATGGGGAAAAGAATAAAGATTCAAAAAAAAAAAA